GGGTGGGTGGGTGGGTGTCCACATTCGCTTGCACGCGGCTTACCACCCGCGATGATATGCGAACCACAATTTAGACTAACTGAGGATTTAAGAGAAGAGGAGAGGGCTACACTTTTCTGCAAAGGAAAGGAACGAAAAAAAAATGGATTATGACAATTTGCATTTTAAACTGTCTTGTTTATTAAAACAACAACGACAACACTAACCACCATTTGAAATCCACTTTGATTATTTCACCTCTTCTCTTACTCCCTCATCAACTCGGTAATTTAATTATCATAGAGAAAATACTTTGTTTAAATTAAATGAAAGTGGTTTCCTCCAAACCCCTTGCATTTGTGAATCTGAAGGACACAAGAGCATGTTAATTCAAAAACAAAAAGAAATATGAAACTAAAAATTTGAAGTGAAGGATGAAGCACGAGAAAAAAAGGGGGTTTTTAGCCCATCTTAGAGAAGTTGAAAGATGGACCCATTAAACTGCTCTAGAAGCACACCTCGACAACTGAAGGTTATGCAGGTGGAGGATCTCGTAGAAGCGGACACCTTTCCATTGCATAACTCCTCGCCCCGAGGGTTTTGTCTGCCTTGTCTACGACTTGCTCTCGCTGACGATGGTCAGAAAGTGGACGAACGCGAATTTAAAGTACTGTGCTTCGTAGTCGCAAAACAACAACACTGACAAATTCGTGTTTGCTATGGAAGGGGACTGTGTCGTGACCGGGGAGAAGAGTAAATGAGGTGCAAAAGTGGAGATTGACGATTTTGTTGCTAAACTAGGGTATTTTCTTTTTCCTTGATACAAATTAAATTAAAGGCTGTTTTTATTTCAATTTAGAACTTGAACAGTGATGGAGACAAGTCCCTGGAGGACATTAAACAGTCTCAACAGTCATCAACTTCAACAATAGGTCAGATTTACACTGACATTCTGAAACGAACAATTGGTTTTGGAACAAAACAAACAACCTTTCCCAAAGTGGAAGCTACTACAAATGGCAGCGGTGGCTATAATGACTACGATGATGATATTAATGTTGGAACAGATGAAGAAGATGCAGAAACGTATTCTCAGGCCCACTTCACCAAGACATCATCAAACAACGGTCCCGCCAATAGCAATGGCAGTTTTGAAAGCTACCATGCTCTAGTAGGCTATGAATCACAGACTACCAGCACTGCCACACCTTCGGTAGCCGCTGTCAGCAGTGTTGCCATAGCAGCAGCTGCAGCAGCTGCAGCGGCTTCAGCAAAACAGAAACGCCATCGTACTCGATTTACTCCAGGTCAGCTAAACGAGTTAGAAAGAGTGTTTGCAAAAACACACTACCCAGACATCTTTATGCGGGAGGAGTTGGCCTTGAGAATTGGACTTACGGAATCGAGAGTACAGGTGAGTTGCAAGTATGCAATGTTTTGTGTTGTGAATTTAAAAAAAAAAATGGAAGGAATTTTTGTTAAATAGTTTACCTCACAAATGGCAAAAATGCAAGCTACTCCAAGGCAATGCATTAAGTTCACATTAATTATGAAGTGGAAATGCGATAAAACTAAATTGTCTATCCACTTTAACAGCCTTCATAACTACAACTTAAGTTGGGGTACACTACTCGTCATTATTTAAGATTGCAGTCTTTTTGCATTTTTTGATGAAAATGCAAGCCTACAGACAATGAATTCGCAAAGATGGGTGTATATCACGCAAAGGCAATCTCGCACCCTCTTTCCCGCTTTGCTTCTGCTCCCGATACCCCCCCCTCTCCCCCCTATCTCTCCCCCTTCCCCATTCCCTATCGTCAGCGCTTGTACGCCAGAGCGACTGGTCGGGAGGCGGGGATGGAGTGGAGGACCAGGATAAGCGGGGCAGTGGCGGGCTGTGGCGAAGGTGGCGGTATGAGCAGGGTGAAGGAGGAGGCACGAGGCAGCAGATGCTTACACCCAGGCAGAACAATTTTGTTCTCGAGGTGAAGGCGACAGGGGGACATGGGTAGGAGGCAAGAGATGTGTGTTCTGTGCGAGTGAGATCTGTTCAACCACAAGCGCACGTATGTGTGCGTACGCCTTAGGGCCAGTGTGATTAGGCGGCATTTTGCTGGCCAAACAACCCCTCACTAGTTTGCGTGTGCGTACGCACGCACACACACAGGCACGCACTTCTTGATTTATGCTCAAATGATGTGCGTGTGTGGGTGCAAGCGTGTGGAAAAGTTCACCTCTATCGCTATATCCCCTCCCCCCTGCCCCTCTCCTATCGCACATCCACCTCAATCCAGCCCAGCCCAGCCCAGCCTGGCCCACACCACCCCACCCAAACCCCACCTTCCCTTCCTCTCTTAGAGAGAGCAAATATTCGCACCGAAGCCTTGTTTAATTGCTGACGTGCGAGAAACAAGGGTGGAGGGAGGAGGGCCGATCCACAATGCCATTGTTTTGCTTCATCATCACCAGATATATCCGACTTCACTTCTCCCCAACAATTCCTATTCCCACGTACCAATTAATCTCTCCTCATCACCAACCCTACTGCTGCCAAACCAATGACCAGATTCTACCAAAATACCTCTTAGTAAACAACTGCTTACAATGTGTGGAGTCAGTCTACTGCACACTCACTTACTCCACACCTCAGTC